AAATGTAATGGACGGGCAGTTCTAGTTATGTTTTAGGGCTTTGTCCTGGATACTGCAATTAAGCCTCCCTAATATGAACAGCAACCACAGTAGCAGCAAACCATAAAAGAGCCTGATAACCATGCCCTGCAATACCCATCTGGATGTGTGTAATGCAGCTGCATTCTCTTTCAGTGGTGTGAGGTGCCGTGAAAACCAACGGAGCTTTAGAACTTGCACAGAGCAGAGCTGTGGGTGAATTATGAAAGTAATTCCCTGGCAAGTGTAATTATTTCTCTCCTCATGCACTTCACTCATCATGGGGTCTGGGGAAATTTCAGCGGAACGTAACAGACACACTCTTGGCCTCAGCCACCAGAATGGTAGAACACATCCGCTGAAAAACGGAGATTCTTGTTTACACCCATTAATAACATCTTCTGCATTAATGAATTGCATTCATGCTGTCATCCATTAAGAAGGTACTTTGAGGTCTGTCTCTGCACAGAACACCAGCTTCTCCAGATGACTCTATAGTTTTACAGCCCATAAATAAAACAAGTATTTTCCCTTCATCTTTGAGGTCTGCAATTAAATCTACTAAATGGACTGCAGATGCCTGGCTTACAGTAAGTGTTTCATCTTGGAAGATCACGGAACTACCGAAGTCACCACAAGGAAGTAGCACAGTTGTCAAATCAGGGCAATTTCAGATAAAAATTTCACAGAAATTTCATCTCTGTGAGTCAACCTTTTTCCTAAGTATGGCCAGTGATGAAGCACTAAATCCCTGAAGCAGGAAACACTGTATACCCCAGAAATTATGACCTTGTGCTAATTTTTCAAATGAGGAATTGTATTTCTTGAAGGAATAGTACACAGGGAGATGATACAGTAGTTAACAGATGCTTGCTACTGAGTACAGCCTCCAATGTGCTAAACTTCAGAGAGACAGGAGACAGGAAAAGGCCTGTTGTATTGCTGAATGGAGAAATTTTGATAGAAACAGAGAAAAACTGGCTAGTGATAATATACTCTTCTCTGGAAAAGTCTATATTCTGAGTAACAGTTTTCTTTGCATAGTATAGCCAGCCTGTTTTATTAGGAGAACGTCCTGTGATGCCAATATCCTCACTCTGATGGGAAAAAAAATTCTCGGTTTCAGAGAGAGCAGAGTTCATGGGGCATAGTGCTTAAGGAAAACAGCATTCTTCTCATTCATCAGAGCAGATCTCATGCTCCAACAATATCCCCATATCCTAGAAGTGGCACATGTGGAGTCCAGAGCCTAACAAGCACTTCACAGGCTTTCCAAAAGCAAAGTTGCAAACTTATTTCCTGCCCCAGACTAAGTTGTCTTGAGGTTTCCTGTCTCTTGTAGACCAACTTCACCCTCAACTATTACATCCTCATACTACAAATTAGATCCCAGTGCCTTACGGACTAAGCTCTTTATCTAGCTTTGGAAAACTGGGTCTGCAGCCAAGCAAAGTCAGAAAAAGAGAGGTATTATTTTTTTTTACTAAAGATGGAGAACTCTCAGATGACAGAACAAAAATGACCCCTGAGAGCATAAAATAACTATTAATTACTTACATCACCATCGTCACTTGTTATTCACTGTATTGATTTTAATTGTTCTTCTAAAGCATCAGTGAAATATTACTCACCAACACCAGGAAGCGTTGGCTCACAAGTCCAACAAAACACATCTTGTCTCCTCAAAAGAATAAGAAAAGAACCTACACTTCCTAGTAGAACCTGATGTGCTGAGAGTGCTCATTTTTCTGCAGGCAGCTCTCTTGGCTGTACTGAAGAATGTGATTCCCTTTACTGGCTGGGATCGTTCTCCCAATGGTGGGAGTACATTCCTATTTGCAAGATCCACACAGAGGAGCTGCATTTGGTTTGACACTTTCATAGAAGAAAGCAGGGTCATGCATCCTTTCATAGTGAAATAATGTTATTATTCTGGAGCAAATATTTTGCTTTCAAAAGCACAGAGAATTCCTGGTAGATTCAAGGCATGGCTGGCACAAGAAAAATACTGGGAAGACCTCTCAGTTGTTTCACTCTTCAATAAAACTTGCAAAATTTTGGAAAACCTTTCGACTTGCTGGATTTTCCCTTTTCCAAGCAATCAAAAAACCAATCAGTGCATAACTTTATGCCCTGTGCTGAGTTTTATGGGATTTGTGTGACAAAAGTCCCATAACTCCAGACTGACTATGGCAGGGTTCTGGCATAATTTCTGCAGCAAAATGCTACTAGATTTTCAAGGGAGAAGCTTAGGTCCCTTAATTAAGATGTATAAGGACATATAATGTTACCCACACATACACAGCTCCTGTATCAAATGGAAATGAAAAGGGAGAGTCAAACAAACCGAACCGAGCATATGACAGTGTCATTTTAAGGTTTTGTGAACACTGTGTCTCTCCCTGTCCTTTCCTTCCTTCCCAGTCATTATCTTTTCCTCCAGACTGACACATGAGCTTGGCTGTGCTGTCAAATACACTGGTTTAAATGAACCTGGAGTTTCCATACCAAAGGAAAACAAACTGTGCATTAGGCCTGTGGTACCCTTGGTCTGCTCAGAAGCTCTAGACAGCTGGTGCCCTGGTCACCAGTCAACAGGACCAAAGCTCAGCCACTGCTGTGCACAGCCCTACCCCAGCCCAGCTGACTTAACCTTGGAGAAATGGGGAAAGAGGAGCTTGTGGAGATGAGATGGGGAAAGAGGATACAATACTCCCTACATCAATACCACAAGAAAGATGTTACAATTATTCTCTGCTTGTATAGATCACCCCTCACATAATGTTAAGTTCTTCCCCCTCAACCCCAAAGCCAGAATTTGACATTACTAAGACCTAGCAGCTATCAGCAGCAGAAGAAGAGCTCCTGTCAAAGCAGCAGCTCAGGCTACCCATCCCTTGCAAGGATAGCAACATGCTGACAGGCACAGCTCCTGGTAGGTGGATACGCAGATGCACAAATCTGTAACTGGATCTCATAAAATATAAATTCTTTATCCCAAAATATAATACTTTATCCCAGTCCCCTTGCATGTACCTGGAGATTTCTAGTGCCAGGCAGGAAATACAAAACAGATGTTTCAGGAATGAACTGCATGTATAACTCACAACATTCGCAAAGACAATATGCAGGCATCTGATAACTGACTATTCCTATACCAATTGTATAAATAAAAAATCTCTATTTACATTTGGGACCAGTTTTTCAGGGACACAGTCTCTTAGTCTGTGCAATTGACTATTTAATATCTACAGAAGATTCAGGAATAGAACTTTTTCTGCCCTTAGGTTGTAAAACTTCAATCAAGCAAAAAAGAGCAAATTATTAGTTTCTCAATTTAGTGGCTTAGCTATAAAATCAAAGAAAAGAGTATCAGGAAGTCTTCCAAATAAATAAAATTAAAAATAAACGAAAAAAAAACAACAACAAAAAAAATCCAACCCCAAAAACAACAAAAAAAAACCCAACCAGCTAAAAATACCAACCCCTCACCCCTTTTTTATTTAATTTTGCTTGGCTTTGTTAATTTGGCCAATATTTTGCTATTTTTTTTTTCTTAAAATTTAGCTACATTTAAACATGAAACAGGTGAGAACACAATGCATTTAGTTTTGAAAATGTTTCAACATAAACTTTAAGGAAAAAACCTTTTCCCACACTTTTCAACCTTCCTGGGACTACATTTATCAATGAACAATTTTTTTGCCTGAAAGATTTCAGCTGTATCTACTCCAGAGCAGCTGTTCCTGCCCAATGGAAAAAGTCAAAATTTGCAACCCCTACAAGAGGACTCAGGCCCTCCAAACAGCTGCTGCCCACTTACAGGTGACAATAAACCTTTAAGTTCAGGGTTCAGGTCCACACTTGTGTGTCCTTTCCCGATTCAAAATTCCAGGTCCCAGCCAAAGAGCAGTAACTGCTCTTTTTCCCACCTACCAAAAGAGCAGTAATTGAGTTGTGTGTCTGGCTTCAGCTTTTTTTGAAAGGCAGGAGAGAAGGGGGTGCAGGGGGCAGGACACTGGGCTTAACACACAACTCAGGAGCTCCAAATATTTGCTTCAGGAATATACCTTGGCAGTGCTGATTTAACTGGAAATACAAGGAGCATGAGGTATGCCAGAGAATCCAGTGAGATGTATTAGAGGACATTTTTCTTTATAATGGGAGGTCTTTAACTGAGAAACTTTCCTCACAAGTTATTGCAGCACATCGGGACACAGAGTAAATGTATGTGCCTCTTTGTGCTTGGCACTGCTATGAGGCTTTGCATCCTATAAATCTATAAATTGAATTCATCCTGCTTACACCCTTAGTCTTATAAATTGTTAGACTAAGAACAGCTAATGGATGAGTAGGTGATTTATTTTTAAAAGATGCATACTGCTGCTTTTTGGAAACCGAAAGCATATAGACACGGGATGTACCCTTCCTGAAGGCTGGGTCCCAGGTAATGAGGAATTACTTTGTATCCTCCCCTGTCCCCAGGAACATGCTTTATTCAAGTTCTCAGAGGGAACCTCCTGTCCAAGAAGAGAAAGGTCTGGATGGTGCAGAGAAGCACTGCAAAGGAAACCACATGCAAAGAGCGGATGAGGCATCAGTAATGGTGCCAGGTACTACATAATGCAAAAGGATGAATATAACTAATTTATTAGAATAAATTTAACTCTTAAAAAAAGCATATGCAACAAAAACTTGAAAGGAGCAAACCCTAGACATCTCACTCCTTGAGAGAAAACCTGACCTCATGAAAAGTAGCTGTAAGAGTAAAATGAAGGATTTTTGCCACAAATGATGCTGTGGGATACAACAGGAGACTCACTTCAGTATGTGAATCAGTCAGTACAATGACTACCAATCTAAACAGAAAGAGGGATCTGCCATTTGCCAAAGGTTTCCCCGCAGAGGGCAGTGGGACCATGCCACTTAGCTTGAAAGGGATGCTCTTTGAGCTTACACCCAGGTCAAGTAAAGTAATTTACCTTTTAGAGAGGCGACATGGGATAAAGCTTGTGCATAGGTGGCTGTGTTGAGAAGCGTCCCCGGCAGACAGGAAGGGAAGAAAGGGCCTGTAGGACCCACTGATCGGCTCAGGCTGACGGAGAAAAGAAAACAACTTCCTTACAAAACCAGAACCAAAAGCTGATTCTATTTGTGCATGCACACAAACACCTTGGTGTCTCAGCATCCGACTAGATGTGACCCAGGCTGGACAACATCAGCCTCCCACAGCCACCAGCTCCTCAGCATCTCCACAGGGAACAGTGGATTGCACTAGAAACACCTCATTTTCTAAAGATGAAACCTGAAGGTCAAGGCATAGCAGAATATCTGTATGCATGCACACACGTATGAGGCACTCTTACCCCACAGACAAACAGCTGACAAAATGTATTACTCTTACCTCTGCTGGATCTCCAGACCCTCTTTTTTGTTCCTGGTTTGATCTGCTGGAGAAGGGGAATTTAAATTCCTCGCAGGAGGTGCCACCTCAGCCATGGTTTCCTTAGAGCCCTCTTGGTCAGAAGCACCCCTCTCTGTCTTTCTCCATTTAGCCCTTCGATTTTGGAACCACACCTGGAGCAGGAGAGCAATCCTAGGTGAAAACCATGCTTAGCCAAATGTAAAGCAAGGAGATTGTAAATTGTTATTCTAGTGAAATCTGTCATTTAGTAGCTTGGCTAAATCCTTCTCTTATTTTGTATCCCCATTGTTATTCTAGTTGAGTTTTAGGATTACATTTGTATCTGTAATAAATCTGCATCTGGAAAAGAAGCCGGCAATGTCTAAAGACATTCAAAAGGCATGTCACAACAAAAATTTTAAAAGCAGTAGTTTTGATACTACTGTGCCAGTTAGCAAAGCATTTAATCACGTGCAAGCCTTTATGACACATTTAATTCTCACTGATTTCTAGAGATGGTGTTAAATACATATCTAAGCACTCTCATCAGAAATGAAAAGGTGTGTATCTGGCTGTCTTACCCAGCCCATTTTCTGGAGAGGGCTGATACTGTCTGTTCTTCCTCTCATGTCCAGTCTGCTTTTAGAGGACTAAAAAGCTGATAAATACTAATTTTGGAACATCATTCTGCAGTTTAATAATGTGGCCTGGCAACTGCCCCCCACCTTAGGCCTCACTATGACCTCAGAATAGAACACGAGTTTCCAAACCCTTTTTTTTTTTCCCATATGCAAAACAAATACTCATATTCTTGATTTTTTTCACCTGACTATTAGTCTAAAAACTTTTTTTTCTATTAACCTTGGAGCTGATATGCTGAAAGCACCATGTTTGAGGTGGAAAATGCCAAGCGTCTTTTGAGGTCAGGAAATCCACATTTTAATACATGAATTCAAGTATAGGCAAGATTGTTATTATTATTCTTCTCCTTCTCCAATTCCATTTCAGTTAGCTGCCTTTTAATTGCATGTATCAGCAAACATTGAATAATGATTTTATCTATATTCTAAATTTAGAGCAGTTAAATGCAAAGCAAAATGCAGACACTTTCTTGTGTCTTAATTGAATGAAGGTCACAGCTATAACAATATTTAATTGAGCTATTTTTCATTATCATATTTTAATGACTTTGCACTGACAGTTCGCCTGCTTCTGAGGAAAGAGCATGATGAAGTCGTTTATTTCCCTATTTAGTTATTGTTTGACAACATCATCTTCGATTAAGACTCTGCTTTATAGCACATTAATCATATTTGAATGAGCAAGGGGTATAAATGTAAACATATCTCCCATCCTCTGTGTTTCCCCATGTCCCTGCATGAAAGCAGGCTAAACAAATGCTTGCATCTATTGTCTGTTAGCATAATAGCCAACAACAAGGCTAAACACCAGTTCTCAGCAATCTAATTGTCACCACCCCTATCTCACCCTTGCACCTTTCAGGAAGAAGTTATGATCTTCCACTTCTGAATGCTCAATAATTGTCCCATTTATCTCAATTTGCAGTTCAGTCTTTAGGCACCAATAGCCAAAATGGCATTTTTTATTATTTTTTTAAGCCAGTACCTACAATGCAGTGGTAAAAGGAGATTTTCATTTCCAAATAATAATCAGTTTAATTTGCCCGCATATGACCAATGATTCATGTTCAGATTTAATAATCAGGATCACATAATCTGATTATAGGAGAAATAATTTGTTTACAATCCCCAATTTACTGTGGTGAATTCCATTATCTCTCTTCAGCCATTGGGTTTTAAGAGATACTAACATGACCCTAGGGAACAAAAGGCAAGCTATTATATTTCCTACAATTAGATCTTTGCATAGTCTTAACCCCAAGCACGTAAATAAAAAAAAAAAAAAAATAGAAGAACAGTGTGCAGAAAAGCCCCATAAATAAAAATGAATGCATAATTGTGTTCAAAAAAAATGGTTTGCAACTCTGTGGTGGATGCCTGAAGAGTTACAGGGATCCATCTCTGACAACTGCAGGACTGCTTCTCTTAGCAGAGCACATACACATATACATGGACTGGATATGGAAAAACAAACACATGGGAGAAAGAAAAAACAACAAGGAAAAAGGTGAGGAGAAGGAGGAACGGAAGGGCTGGAAAAGTGTGGCTGTGGAAAGAGTAATCATGGCCAATTGTATTTATTGGATCATATTAAAGGTGGGGGAATTGCTCTGCAGGCTCTTTAGCTGCCTAAATTAAGTGTTTAGCAAGAAGGCGAAAGGGAGAGAAGTTGGAGAGGTGCAGGAGCTTTCTTCCTGGCAGCTGGGCTCCCTGCAGTTGACTAAGCCCGCTGCTCAACAGTGGTCATAGTTGCTTTGGAGAATCACGTCTCAGCTCTTTTCTCTGCACCACGCCCCCCCCTCCAAAAGCAAGGAAATGGATGTGCATTGATGTAATTTAGTACCTTGGAGACGCGGACAAATTAGTGTAGAACATTATCACTAGTTAATTATGAATGACCGATTAATCAACCTAATCTAATATTCCACATTATGTTGATGTTATTAAAGTGCATCATGAAAATGACAGATCGTCTTCATTTGCGTTCTTTGGCCAAATGTGCACTCTGCAGTCATGATGTCAAATAAAAAAAAAAAAATTAAAAAAGTTTGCCAGTTTGAATATCCGAGTTAAGTAATTCCCCAGGATGTTTACCTGCACCCTGGCCTCCGTGAGGTTGATTTTCAGAGCCAGCTCTTCTCGAGTGAACACATCGGGGTAGTGGGTTTGAGCAAAAACAGCTTCCAGGGCCTCGAGCTGATGGAGGGAAGGAGTGCAGAGATCCGTGAGGGATCTGTGAGGGATCTGTGAGGGATCTGTGAGGGATCTGTGAGGGATCCGGGCACCCCACGGGGGTGTCTGCCAGGCATGGATGATGAAAACGGGATCATGGAGGCAACGGGGCAGGAAGGATGGGGCTGGCACGGCACGGGGCATGCGGGAAGGAGGCTGGGGGCTGGCAGGAGCAGGCACGGGGGAGCAGCTGTGGTGCAGGCAAGCGGGGCAGTGGGTGCAGAGAGAAGCGGGCTCCTACCTGCTGCAAGGTGAAGGTGGTGCGGTTGCGGCGCTGCTTCCTTCGCAGGAACCCGTCGTCGAAGTCGCCGGCGGAGTGTCCTCCGAAGGGGGCCGCGCCTGCGGGCCGAGAGCCGCGTTAGGGGCCGCAGTGCCCGGGCACGGAGCCGGGCACGGAGCCCCCCGGACCGGCAGTGCTGCCCCATCTCCGCCGACCCCGGAGCTGCTGCGGGCACCGTGGGCTCTGCTGCCCGCAGCTCACCCCGTCCCGGGAAAGAGTATTTTTCGGGTCATTTGTGCTATAAAGGGACTTAGAGACGAAGCTTTGGCATAGGCGTGCGGACGGCAGCTCTCAAAGGCCCTGCCCGGGCCAGGAGGCAGCGGGGCCGCTGGCAGCTTCCTCTCCGCGGGAGCGGCCGAACCGGCCCCGTCTGCTCGGCCCGTGGGCTCGGGGCTCGGTACAGCCCGGCAGCGGCGGCTCGGCCCCGGATGAACCCCGGCAGTCCATAGCGGGGCTGGAGGAGGCCGCCCGGCCCTTCCCCGACCGGCGTTCGAGGGCCCGACTGGGGCAGCGGGGGTTTCTCCCCAGACGGAGGTCGGGAGAGGGCAGATGGGCCACCGGGATGCGAACCACGTTCCATGGAGCAGCCCTGGCCTTCGTGGCTCCCCCAGTCACACATCATCCGTGCGTGCCCGTGTTGAAATATGTCACTCCTTTTCTGTTCGCTGTCAAAAAAGCCACACAAACAAAACAAAACAGACCAAAAAAACACTCAGAACTTAAACCAAAGAAAAAAAAAAACAATCAAAAAATAAAAACAAAAAAAACAAGTACAAAATAAACAACGAACAACCCCGAACAGGAAACAAACAAACAAAAAAAAAACCCTCAAACCAAAACCCACAAACGAACAAACAAAACAAAACCAAAATAAACCCTCACGGAACAGAAAAGTACCCGCAGCCCCAGAAGCGTTGCTGAATGTCCCTGTGACCCCACTCACAGACCTGCCCCTGCAGTGCTCTGGGGTGTGTGGCTGGAGGTCACCGCACATCTTACAGCATCATTTGGAAGATAAACAAGGCCCCGAGCCCTCTCCTTGTGTAGACCTCACTCCATGTGGGCCTGGGAGAGGCTCATCACAGATTAAAAAATAATGTCCCGGTGGCCGCCAGAACGCGGTCTTTTCCCTGCAGCACCGGGCCTCCCCGGCTGCCCAAACACTGGCCGAACAGAGCTTTTCTGCTCCCTCTTCTTTGGTTTGGTGATGGGTGCCTGGGGGGGGCTTTGGACGGAGGTGTATTTTTTTTTTTTTTCCACTTGTGATGCCCAACGCTGTTTTCACTCTTTGTCAGGATAGATCGCCCCTTCCCCCCGCCCCGCTGCTGCCCAAGCCGGGAGGGCGAGGGGCCGGCCCCGGACAGCGCCGGGAGAAGCTGCTGCCTGCGGGCCGCTGCTCGTCTCGGGCCGCCAAACACAGCACCGGCTCCACGCTGCCAGCGGAGAAACAAACACACGGCAAACAAACAAACAAGCAAGCCAAAGCAAGAGCACGTTTCCCAAGCTGGCTGCCGAAAACTAGCAAACAAAGCCGCCTCAACACCGGCGGGAGGGGACCCCAGCGCTGTCCTGCCCAGTCCGGCTCCCCTGTCCCGCCCGGGGAAAACTTTGGGGAGCGAATATTCCAGCCGGGATGCACAGACCGGCTCGGATCCACTGGCCCTGGGAAGCCGTGTTTAAAGAGGGGCTGACCCTCCCCCGAAGTGGGATGAAACCGCTGGACCACTTCTTCCTGCCAGCACCGCCGCAGGGAAAGCCCCTTTCTCTGCGGGCGATGCCCGTGCAAGGAGCGGGGTGGCCGGGCAAGGGGATTTCACGGGCCAGGGCCGCTTTCCCTCCCCGCCGAGCAGTGCTCGGGCAGGACGGGACAGCCCGCCGGGTGCTGCTGCTGCTCGGCCGCAGCTCCGGGGATGCTCCGCGCACTACGGGCAGCGGCCGGGGGATCGCGGCCAGAGGGCCCTGGGTATCTGTGGGGGTGACACGGGGAAATCCTGAAGGCTGCCAGTTTTTTAAAAAAGAAATCAACAACAACGACAATAACAATAATAAAAATAAAAAAGTCTCTGACCAATAACACAAAGAAAAGCATCCTCCCAAGTATTTATTTTCCGCTATTTTTTTTTTCTTCTGTTGTACCTCATTTTTCCCCATCCTCCCACAGAATGTTTGTAAAATAGCATTAAAGATTTATGCGGTCCCTTTGGCTGGAGGGAGGAGGCGTGACCACGTCCTGAAAGTGTCCCGATTACAGCCATGACACCAACATCTGTGCTGGGAGGGGAGAAAAGCATCTCTCTTTTAGCCTGAGGCTCAACTGCGGGATCGCTATCCACAGAGGGGAGGCAGGTGGCAAAATGACGGGGGTGGGGGTGTAAAACCAAGCCCTTTCCAGCA